CAGACTCTTTGCCACCCTATGAACTACAGCACGCCAGGCTTTCCTGTCTATCACCAACTCCTAGAGCTTGTTCAAACTCATGTTCATCAAGTTGGTGATGCCATCCAACCATCTCATTCTCTGTAGTCCCCATCTCCTCCTGCCTTCAATCTTTCCCAGCATCAGGGTCTTTTCCAATGAGTCAGTTCTCTGCATCAGGTGGCCAAAGTATTGGAACTTCAACATCAGTCCTTCCAATGAATATTCAGGACTGATTTTCTTTAGGATTGACAGGTTTGATCCCCTTGCAGTCCAAGGGACTCTCAAGAGTCTTCTCCAACACCACAGCCAGGGAAGCCCCCAAGAATTAGAGTTGGGTTAAAAATTACATCTAATGTGCACTATGTGGTGTCTTTGGTTAGGTTGACAATCTTTCTGAGCCTGTTTACTCATCTATAAAGTGAGAGTAGTAGTACTCACTTCATATTATGAGGATTATACTTGAAATGAAATAATTTATGTGAAAGCTCCCAAAAGACTTACAAGCATGTAGAGGTTGCTTAATAAGCTCCTTCTCTTCCTTTAACATATTTCACTAACCTCCAATGATGCCCTCATTCTTTGAAAATGACTAACACGTACTTAGCAAGAAATCCCATGCTTCCGGTATGAATCTTAATTTTTCTTTCTTCTCTTCATTCCACATCAGAATTCTATGTCTTCACTCATCCTGTCTCCTGTTTCAGAAATAGTGTCCCTCTTCTGTGAGGCTAACCCTCTATCTATACAAATAGTTTTCTTCCCTGGCTGCACATTAGAATAATCTGTGGAGCTTTTTAAAAATGCAGATGTTTGGTCCCCCACCACAGATCAATTAAATATGAATTTCTGGAGGCAGGAGCATGGCATCAGTATTTTTTTAAGTTCCCTGGTAGTGTGCCAAGACAATTCAGTGGGCAAAAGAATAGTCTTTTCAACAAATGTTGGAAGTAGATAACCTCATTCAAAAGAATCATGTCGAACCATTCCTTATACCATTCACAAAAATTAACTCAAAATGGATCACAGACCTAAATGTAATAACAAAAACTTTAAAACTTTTAGAAGAAAACATAGAGTAAATCTTCATAACCTTGTGTTAGGCAAAGCCTTCTTAGGTATGACACCAAAAGCACAAGCAACAATGACAAAAATAGAAATTAAAACATTTGGTGCTATAAATAATATCATGAAGAAAATGAAAGGACAACCCACAGAACAAAAAAAAAGTCACAAACCACATACCCGATAAAGAACTTATATCCAAGATACATAAAGGACTCTTAAACTCAATAATAAAAAGATAAATAACCTAATTTTTTTAAATGAGCAAGGGATCTTAGGGAGAATAGATATTTCTCCAAAAAAGAAATACAGAGGACCAATAAGCAAAAAAGATGCTGAACATCATTACCCATCAGGGAAATGTAAATCAAAATCACAATGAGCTACCACTTCAAACTCCCTAAGATTGCTCTTATCAGAAAGAAGGATAATAATATTTGCTGATGAACATTGCAACCCTCATACATTGCTAGTGGAAATGCAAAATGGTGTAGCTATTTTGGAAAATGGTTTGTGGAAAAAGTGTGGAAATAGTAAACATATAGTTATCATATGACCTAACAATTCTACTCCTCAGTATATACCCAAAAGAAATAAAAACATGTTTACACAAAAATTGCACACAAATGTACACAGCATTTGTACATTTGGCAGCCATAGCAGCCAAAAAGTGGAAAGAACACAAGTGTCCACCAACTGATAAATGGGTAAGTAACATGTGGTATAGCTATTTAATGAAATATTATTCAGTGATAAAAAGGAATGAACCACTGACATATGCTACAACATGGATAAACTTTGAAAATCTTATACTAAGAGAACAAAGCTGACCCCTAAACCACATGGGTTTGAACTGTACAGCTCCACTTATAGTTTTTTAGCTGTGAATACCACACTACTATACAGTCCATGGTTGGTTGAAACCAAGGATGCAGAATTGTGGATACAGAGGGATGAGTACAAATTATACTCAAATTAACTCCCTTCACACATTGTTCAAAGATCAACTGATGTCACAGAAGACTATATACTGTATAATTTCATTTATAAGAAATGATCAGAATAGGCAAGTATATGTGTAGAGAGTATATTAGTTGTTGCCTAGGGCTGAGAGTTGAAGGGAAATGAGGAGTGACTGATAATGGGTAGACAGTTTCTTCTTGCATGATGAAAATGTTCTAAAGTTGACTGTGGAGATGGCTGAACAACTCTGTGATCATACTAAAAACCACTGGATTGGAAAGACAGAAAGTTCCCCCAGGTAATTCTAATCTTAATGTCTGTTTACAAAAACCAATTTCTGAACCACAATACTCAAAATATATGGCATCTTACCTTCTAGATTCCTTAGGGGTAAAGATGGCATCTTCTAATTCTTTCTTTCCCCCACATCCTTAAGGAATAATAACTGACACAGAGCAGGAGTGTGAGATCATTTAAAGACTTTTTTTTTTTTTGAAAGTAAAAGAATGTTCTTGGTGAATGTGTTTTATTTTAACCGAAATTGTAAGAGTCAGGCTGCCACCTGGCAGAATTGGTCATCTTGACTCTCATGATTCATTTAAACTCACCAAGCAATTAATTCAGTTGTAGCATATAGAGAGAAGATAGGTAGCCAGTGCAAACCAAACTGACCGGTTCTGCCATTCAAAGTATGGTTGTTTCACCACGTAAAGTGGATGTGGCTGCTGGCCCTTAGGAACCTTTCTTTTGACAGCTCCCCAGGACACGGCTCTGGTTTGACTGACTTTGTTTACTAAATAAATTAATTCCTACTTCTGGAGTAGCTTCAATTTTTAAACAGAAAGCCATCTATTGACAGTCACTGATACACAGGATTTTATTGTTTGATATTAAACAATTAAGAATTATTGTTTTTTTCCCTACAAGTACACTATACATGAAAATAAATATCATTTAGAATACAGCCACTAGGAGTGGAGAGAGAGGGAGACTCTATATCCACTCTGTGCCTTAAAGGGATAATTTTACTTTAATAAAACCAAAGGGCAGACTAGATTTCTTTCATGGAAATAAAGCTCTCTTTGGCAAAATGTATATTGAAATCTGATGAGCATTTCCTAAGATGAGTCTGATTAACACATTTTTTTTCTTTTTATTATTGCTTTTAGCCACACCACACAACATGTAGGATCTTAGTTCCCCCACCAGGAATTAAACCCGTGCCCCCTGTAATGGAAGCATGGAGTCTTAACCAATGGACCAACAGTGAACGTGTCCCTGTAAACACATCTTTTAAAAAAATCCTAAGGAGTCTTTTGATCTAGCAGTGACTTAAAAGTCTTTAATAATTTAAAATAACTTTGAAATTGCTACTTTCAACAACGTATCTGAAGGTACATACTCAAAACATGCTGAAATAAGTCAAGGTGTTTACAAATGTTGGGAATTTTGTTATTTATTCAACTTGCAGATAAAAAATAGCAAGGCATGACACCATAGTTTTCTTAGCATAGGACAAAAATCTTGTTTAAAAGCAGGCAAAAATTTCCCCTTCTATAATTCTAGTGAGTTCAAATGTACTCAGGAAAAACAAATTGAGTGAGGACAATACCAAAGATGAGAAATAAAAGAAAATTCTAAATCCTCAGGTAATTTTGAAATAAGTTCACAGTTGGGAGAGTCATTAATAAGAATAATTCAAAAGATATTGTTAGAGCCATAATTTTAGAAGCCTTGTTTCATGAGCAGATTACAATATGAAAACTTCAAAAGTAAGTATGGATTATACAAGGTAAACAAGACAAGGCTGAATTATAAAAAAAAATAAAATAAGACATCTTGTGTTCTCTCTTATTGGAAAGAACAACCAGGTACATGCTGCTGACTAGACTATGAACTGCTCTAAGTGAGGCAGTTGGAAAATGCTATTAGATTATTTGTGTTGAGGAGCTGCCTCAGGGGCAGAACATGTCACAATGGCACATCCCTCTTCTTTACTACCACAACTTTCACCAGAACCAACCAAAACCTTGGAAAACAAATTCAGACACTTTTTGTTAAAACTCCAAGCAAACTATCGAACCAACTTAACATTTGGAATGTATCAGAAGTTTTCCATGTTTCCCAGACACAGTGGAATAAACAAATTTCAGTTGGAAGTTTATCTTAGAAAAATGCTCATGTGCATTTCCATGCATATAATTGCAAATCATATTAAGAAACCACTTCTTAGTTTTCACTAGGGAATATTAAACAAGTCAGAATTTAAAGATAATTCCCTTTCTGTCTCTGGTGAAGGTTTTAGGTTTTTGAAAACATAAATAAAACGTGTAGAGTGACATAAAGAGCTGCAAACATGTATAAATATACCACTACAGCTCCCATAATAAAAGCTTGTTGTTGGCGGGGGGCGGGGTGGGGGGTTGAACTGGTATTCATCTTCCTCAAACTACAATCCCAAGATGTTGACTGTTATACAATTGCGAAACAAAGGCAAGGTGAAGGGTGAGAAACAACAGAAAGGACGGCTGAAAGGAAGACGAGTGCTCAGGAGCTAGAACCTGCTCGGTCTAGCTGGCCCGGCTTTCCCCAGCACCTTTCGGGTCCCAGTTCTGTGCTTCTCCTCTAATACAATTCACATCATCTCTCAGAGAGATGGAGCTCTCTTTAAGGAAAGCCAAGCCCCCATCCAGAGGTAACGTGCAGAACCGTAAATGAAAAATGTCCACGTCTAACAGCATGCAGACAGCAAAAGAAAACCAGCTGTCAGTTTCAGAGACTCCTAGCTGTAACGGGGTTTCAGGTTTCTCTTTGCCTCCGTTTCTGTCTGTCTCTCTCACTGTGTCTCCCTCAATAATATCAGTTTTCTAATCACCTCAAATCAAAAACACATTCTCCATCTGTCCTTGTGAAATAAATGCTGATGAAACAGAAAGACAGAGTGCGATACTCACAACAATGAAGAATTCCTACACATGCGGGTCCAGTTTCTTGCTTTAAAAAAGATGGAAGGTTCATTTAAAAAGCTTTGCAGAATTAGAAAAATAAGGAGGAGGGGGATTCCACCCACACAATCTTCCAGCCCACCGCAGAGAAGCCCGAAGGCTTGCTGACGTCACAGATTCATGAATGGATGTAAATTGGGCTGGTTTAGGATTCCGCACAGACTTCGCTGTGGTGTGTGCAGTGAAAAAGAAAGGGAGGGTCCAGAGCAGTCCTGGCCAATAGGCTTCAGGCAGTCATGGCCTGCCTTCTTTCAGAAGGAATCTGCTCACAGAATAAACACAGCCCACCCATCAGGCGTCTGCCACTGCCTTAGGACAGAGGCAGCGTGAGGAGGGGGGGTAGAGGGTGGTGGTGGCTGTGTGTGTGTGTCTGTGTGTGCCTGCGTGCGTGCTTCAAGCGGTGATAGTCATGAAAACATTATTATTGCTATTGAATGAGGGAATCAAAATAGAATTTTGGTGGCATCAGTGCTACCAAAAACTCATATATAAGATAGCACAATCTTTTATTCGTCAGTTATTTTCTTTAACCTTTTTCTTGCTGTTCAATCCTGTGCCTCACCTGATGTGATAAAAACAAATCAAAGTCAGAGAGTTTCTAAAACTGATGCCCGGTAGATGTACACCAAGACTTGTAAAAACAAAATAGTAGAGAAATAATAATGGGAATAATAACCTAGTGATTAAGGAAATAGGTAAGAAATATAACAAATGTAATTGTTTTACAGAACAGTATCACCTTAAGGACATTTGTGATGAATCAGAAGGGAGTGTGAAAGAGTAATTTACTGTTACATTTTAAATAAGGTAGGACATTTCCTCATTGGTTTATTAAGCTTCTGACATTCAATTAAGGCACAGATCCAAAGAGCTTATAATGTTTTTTGAGCAGATTTTGGTTTTAGTAAAATGTCTTATTACTAATAACAAAAATAGCTGTAATTAAATTCACCCAAAGAGCTCACGACATTAATTTTTTTTTCTTAAGATTTTTAACAGCTTTATTGAGGTGCAATTGCTATACAAAGAACTACATATAATTAATGTGTACAACTGATAAGTTTGGAACTATGCAAATACCCATGATACCATAATCACAGTCAAGGTAGTAGACATATCTGACATTTCCAAGTTTCATGTGTTCCTTTGGGTTTTTTGTTATAGCTGCTGTAGGTTTTGGTGGCAAAAACACTTAACATGAGATCTACTCTCAGTAAATTTTGAACTACACAGTAAAATACCATATTGTTAACTACAGGCATGTTGTACTACAGATCTTTAAAACCTATTCATCTAGTATTACTAAAACTTTGTACCCGTTGAATAATAACTACCCATTTCCCTCTCCTCTCAGGCTCTGGAAACTACTATTATATTCTCTGCTTTCATGAGTTTGACTAATTTGGATAACTCATATAAATATAATCAAGCAACATTTGTCTTTTTCTGCGACTTGCTTATTTCATTTAGTGCTATGTCCTCCAGGTTCATCAGTGTTGTTACAAATGGTGGAATTTCCCTTTTAAAAGTTGAATAATATTCCATTGTAGGCATATACATTTTCTTTATCCATTAATTTGTTGATGGGCACGTGGGCTATTTTCATATGTTGGCTATTATGAAGAGTGCTGCAATAAATATGGGAGTGTAGATATCTCTTTGAGGTCCTGATTTCATTTCTTTTGAATATATACCCAGAATTGAGATTGCTGGACCCTATGGTAGTTTCATTTTTAATTTTATGAGAAATCTCCATACTGTTTTTCATAACTGCTGCACTGTTTTTATATTCCCATAAAGAGTGTGTAAGAGTTACAATTTCACTACAACACTTGTTATCTTTTTTAAAAATAATAAGCCATCCTAAGTGGTGTGAGGTAATATCTCAATGTGGTTTGATTTGCATTTCCCTGATAATTAGTGATGATGGACACGTTTTCACATATTAATACCTACTGGCTACTTGTATGTCTTCTTTGGAGAGCTGTCTGTTGAAGTCCTTTATCCATTCTTGACATCAGTCTTGGCAATAATTTCTTGAAATGACACCAAAAGCACAGGCAACAAAAGCAAAAATAGACAAGTGGGACTGTATCAAACTAAAAAGCTTCAATCAACAGAAAGATAAGGCAATCTACAGAGTGGGAAAAAATATCTGTAAACCAGATATATTATCTGATAAAGGGTTAATTTCTAAAAAGTACAAATAACTCATACAACTTAGTACAAGAAAAAACAACAAAAAAAAACTGATTTTTTTTCACTCTTTTTTGGGGGGCGCTTAATATCATCAATGAAATTTGTTTTTTGAAATTTTTAAAGTTTTTATTGGAGTATATTTGATTTACAATGTTATGTTATATTCTGCTACATAGCAAAGTGAATCAGTTATAACATACATATATCCGCTCTTTTTAAAATTCTTTTCCCATATAGGTCATTACAGAGTATAGAGAAGAGTTCATTTTTCACTCTTTATTTTAAATTTTTTCAAAGTTACACAGAAATGGAAATTAATATAATTTATTGCCCTTGAATAGCATCATTTCACTTCACAATTACCCATACTTTACTAACACTGATCATAGCTTTTTTCAACTTGGGAAATGATCTCAAATCCTTGAAACTAGAACAATAGTGGTTAATATAAGGCCTTGGTTACAGGTGTCCAGTGACCAAGAACATTCTAAACAGATATCTGCTGTCTCAATCAGGTTATTTGTACAGCTGACAGGAGAGTGGTTGCTTGTTTCTATGTGATTATAAAGGGTTCAAACCTGACACTAATAAGTACTGCTCACTGCTTACTTCATTTGGGAAGAAAAAAACCCAACTTCCCAGGACTATTTTATACACAGGAAAGACATACTGTTCTATATACTCAAGCAACAGCATATCATTAGCAAACAATATATTCAACAAATTTCTTTAAAGAAGCTTCTTGTGGAATATCATAATGGAAAAGACAGACCAAAGAAATTTACCCATGTGACATGGGTGTGCTCAAGACCAATGGAGCACTGGTACCTTCCTAGTAGGCCTGAGTGCACCACACTGATCTATATCAATCATGTCCATGTACTAAGATTGTTTTAGAATCCACAAATGAAAAGAAGATAAAGAATATGCATCTCTGCTTCCTTCAACGGCAATCAAAGCCAACCAGGCTATACCAGAAGAACTGGATTTATATATTTAAAAAAAAAAAACAACAAACTTCCAAATAATACAGACTAATAGAAAGCGGTAACCTCTTTATGAAAAAATATGTCAATGAGATGTTAAATCTGTTACAGACGCTAACACATTGGCTGTTATGTTTCATAGAAACATCATTACTCAATCAAAGACCAGGGTACATCTCTGAAGCAAATCAACAAAACAGAATGCATAATGGTTCTAATAACAGTCACTTAACATGTTGGTTTAATATGTAACCTGGCAAATAAAAATTATCTAGCTCTACCGACTTGCCGTTTTAGTAAGATGAACCTAGTCTGGATTAACATGCCTCCCTAGAGCACAGAAACAACCTTGTCAACAAAAATTTCTCTATGTCAAACATGATGGGAAATCTGTTGGGAAGATAAGTTGTATCCCCAAATCTCAGAAACTGCACTAGTTATTCTTCAAGGAGAACAATGTTGCTTTGCACAGAATTTGGAAGGTAGGGAAAAAGGGTCATGAAAAACGTATATCCAAAAGCAATGTTTCCTGAGAACTTTCTATGATGACAGAAATGTTCTATAATTTGCACTGTCTCATATATTAGCATGTGGAATGTGGCTACTATGATTGAGGAACTGAATTTTAAGTTTTATTTAATTTTAATTAATATAAATGGAAAAATAGTCACATGTGGCTAGTGGCTACTGAATGGGACATTGCAACTCTAGGGATATTAAGCCAAGTCCCATAGTCACAAGTAATTTTTTATTTCAGCATGTACGCACACTGAGTATGGAGCACTACAAAGCCAGTTATCAAAGTGAGTAAACTCTTAAGAACCAAATGGACCTTTTCAAATTTCAGTAATGACTAAAAGATAATCTGGTCTCCTTTCCCAAGAAGATGCTCAAAACTCACTATTAGGAAAAAATTTAAGAACACAAGTTAAGGCACAGTTATTCTGGCATAAAATATGAGCTATTCTATGTGAACTCCCTGGTGGCCCAATGGTCAGAACTCCATGCTTTCACTGCCAAGGACCTTGAGTCCATCCCTGGTCTGGGAACTAAGATTCCACAAGCTTTGAGGTGTGGCCAAGAAAAAAAAAAAGAGCTATTCTAAAGCTGGTTTTTTTCTTGAGAGAAAAAAAATGTGTTTTTAAAGGAAAATGACTAAGTCGGAATCTAAGAGACGTTCAAAGTACTATGACCTAGGGGCAATTTTTGTCATAATACAAAGAAAAAGAAAGAGTATGATGACCTCAGTGCTAATGCATGATGATTCAGATTTCTTTTACAGGCACCAATGTAGCTAGAAGCTAGTAAAAAGATCTGGGTTCAAATTCTGACTCGGTTGGTTATTATCATTAGTTATGTAAGTTTAGGTAAACCAAGCTATTAGTTTCTCATTTTTAGAGTAAGATGCACAGTGTGGGGAAAATAGTCATTAATAAATAACATCTTTGGTGACAAAGGTAGTCAAAAGGTACAAACTTCCAGTTATATGATAAATAGGTACTAAGGATGTAATTAACGTACAATGTGATTAATATAATCAACACTGCTGTAAGCGATACATGAAAGTTGTTATGAGACAAAATCCTAAGAGATCTCGTCACAAGGAAAAATTATTTTTTTTCTTTTGTATGTACATAAGATGATGGATTTTAACTAAACTTATTGTGGTAATCATTTCATGATGTAAGTAGAATCATTATGCTGCATGTCTTAAATTCATACAGTGTTGTATGTCAATTACATCTCAATAAAACTGGAAGAGGAAAATAAAGTGGGGATAATAATAGGCTATATGCCTATTATGTGAAAGTTAAATAAAATAAAACACGTGAGGACTTCAGCACAATACCTGCATATAGAAGATGCTCAGAAAATGATTCTGGTAACTGGTTTTGTTTTCCTGTTGTTAATATAAACAAAGATTTTTACTTTGCTCAATGGACATGAACTTGGGCAAGCTTTGGGAGATGGTGAAGGACAGGGAGGCCCGGCGCATCGCAGTCCACAGGGTCGGACACGACTGGGCGACTGA